TACAATAAATTCAATGAAATAGAGTTAAAACATAAGTTTAAGCAGGTGTTTTTTTATTAGATAATTAACATTTATTTAAATTCACTAAAGATTGAAATGGAAATGAAATAAATATATATAACCAAATTATTTTTTAAATGTACTTTGAATATAAAATCTATACATAATTTAAAGATTAAAGTATTATTTGATAAAAATGAAGAAAAATCGATGAGATTTTTTAAAAGAAAATTTATATAATGAATGAATTAATAAAAATAATTAGTTATTAAGTGGATGTATGTGCTTAATATTTTTTTTCATGTATCATTTTTTTTATTTTCTTTTTTTGATTTTACAAATTATCTCAATTTGCTAATGCCCTCATTGCTATTTTTCTTAAAGTCAAAGCCATATCGTTTTCCATATCGAATTTATAATAGATAATCATCTAATGTTTTTTTAGAAATGCCAACTTTTTCTGCAGCTTTATCTAAAGACATCTAGATAAATGTTTTGTTTTAATCATAAAAGCCAGTATAAAGTCTTCTCCAAAGTGCAACCTATTTTAGAAAATAGTTTTACTCTTTCAACAACTTGTGAGAGAGTTCTTTGTTTAGTTTTTTAATTCTTTTTAGAATTGGTCTCTTCATTTGGTTATTATTCAAGAATGGTATCAAGTAAACTGATTTTGGAAGGTCTAAGTTTCAATTACAACTTGGTTTAATCTTCATTGACTTTGAAAAAAGTATCGAAATTTAAAGGATCAACACCAAGGTTTTCATAAACAGGTAAATTTGGTGTATAGAGTGAGTGATTAACTCATAAAAAAGAAAGAAATACCTAGATTTGATGTTTCTTCTTCATTTAAGATTTAAATAGTGCTATTTTGAAAATGTTCTAAAGGATCAATTTACATTTCTTTAAGTGTTTTGATTAGATCGTAGATCCAAATTTTATGATCCTCAGTGAGTTTGCAATTGATTTCTTCTAGGTTATAAATTTTATTTTCTTATTAAACCAAGAGTGTAACATTAAATTTCTTAGTATTAAATTGAATGTCCATAAATTCAGTAGGATCTTAGTGTTGAATATATGAAGCTTATCTAGAAATAGAAATAATATATGATACCTTGAAATTTAAGTAGTGAATTATAAATTGGGCATATTGGCTTATCCTTCAACACGAGAAGCTTATCTAGAATGAAGAGAATAAGAAAGAATTACCTAGAAAGGAAAAGAGGAATTGGTTGATACGGGACCAGATCATAAGCTCTGGCAGCTTTTAGTTTTGATTTATGCTTCCCTGGGGGCATTTTAATTAGAAAATAATATAAAGATTTCGAATATTTATTTATTAATGGAACTAAAGAATTAGATTCTGTTGGTTATTCTAATTCCAATCATCCTTATTCTTATGTTGGCAGTCTTATAAGTTGGATTGTTAGGTTTTGTAAGCATTCCAAGTTTTCAAGATTCTCTCCTTGACTTTCATATAAATAGACACTTAAATGGTCTTTAAATTGAAATGAATATCATTGAACAAGTAAAAGACCATCAAATTTTATTAGGAAATATATATCTAATATTAAGCATACTTTAATCAGATTTTCGGAGTGAGTGCACATTTGAGACATTATTGTTTTGGGGAGTTCTAAAATTATTCAAGCTGGTAAGTATTTTAATTTAGTTCATTCTAGGACTTTAGATGACAAATAGCTAAGTCTCAATTCATTCACTTCATCCAAAAAAGATTCTTAAGACTATAAGATAGCATGGTCACATTCTAAATATTAGACTTTGACTGAATTATAAAACTAAAGTCCTAAACTTTATTTTTAACTAACCAAAGCTGCCTAATCTCTGATTTTATCTGATATTATAATTAAGTAAAATTTGATTTTAACTTTTAGCAATACTCGTTCTCTTAAACAAGACCTAAATTTGAATACAACGACTGAAACAGCAACTGATACTGAAGCACTCGTACCAATTAATTATGCTGCTACTATGATACATTGCACTGACTCTTTCGTTATAAGGTTCCCTTAGTTTACTGAGGCTTAACAAAAGAAACTTACTGGTTTCAATGTCTCATAATGGTTACCTGAGACTCCTATGTCATTAGATCCTACTTTGAACTTCACTATGAAATATGATAGAGCCGATGAATTTACTAGTGGACCATCCATTAGTATAACTTAAATAGTTCATCAAACAGATATAACCAAATGTTATATGACTGCCAAGGTTCTTAATTCTTACTTAGAAGATCTAACGACTAGACATCTTTAATAACATGAATCTTAGGGTGAATAAGAGCATCAATTATTTGTTGCTATCATAAATGAAGAATATACAGTACTTTCTCCCAAAAATTATTCTAATCGTAATATCACTTAAGCTATCGTATAATATATTAATGAAACTAAACATTTGAGTAATTTTTCATATACTGACTTAATCTCGAAGATGGATGTTCCCATTTATGATAAGATCAAAGAATTAAGAACTAATGATACTCTCAACAGTACTTAATTAATCTATTCATTTGGAACCTATAAATTCTATTTGCTCTTTTCAGAAGTAACAACCACTTCATCAAAAAGAGTATCAATAGTAACTGCTCCTGAAAATGGAAGAAGATATGTTTATATTGAACCTGAAGTTAATGATTTTAAAATGCCAACTTTTATTTTAATTCATTACTTTGAAGAGAATGTTTTGATTTAAGAATTGTATGAAGGAACATCTCTAAATAATGTAAGAATTCTAGAAATTATTGTGTTGATTGTTATTATTGTTTTGTCAGTAGTTATATTTTTGTTTGTTTGGTATACAGCAACTAGAATAGGATTGTCTTTTGAACAGCCAATTAAAGTTTTGACTGAATTCATGAATAGTATAGATATCTAAAATATGGATTAAGAAGAAGAATTAATTAATTATTAAGATTATTTTAATTCATTTGAAATTAAATCATTATTTCAAACTATGAATATATTTGTTACTACAATTAAATACTCAAATCAGAAATATTCCAATTCAAAGCATTCTGATGCTATAGCTTTAATGGAATTAAGTAGAGCTAAAGATTTTTATAAGAAAGAAATCGGAAATATGAGTGCTGTGGGCATTTGTGCTAATAATATTGGAATTTTACATATGAAAGGTGGAAGAGTTTTTGAAGCTGTTAATGAGATGGAAGAGGCTATATACATTGCAAAATTAGAATTAACGGAAATTAAAGAACTCAAAAAATGGTGTACAACTATGATGGCTGCATTACAAGAACCTAATCTTTATCAAAATCTAAGACTGAGACTGAAAGGTCTTGCTAATAAATTTAGATAATAAATAGAAATCACATGGATCAAGAAATTATAAAAGAAACAATAAGAAGAATAAAAAAATGAAACTAATACATAAATTAAAGGAACTTCATCTTAAAGACAAAAAAATGTATCAAATACTTCTAAAAATATTTCAACTACTGTTATTCATTCAAAAAATATTCCACATATGGCCTTGATAAATCCTTAATCAAGTTGTTCCAGCAAGAATACTCAATTAGCAAGTGTGGCAGTAAACTCAGTAACAACTCCCATCAATAAAAAGAAAAGAACTTTAACTTATGAGAAGAGTTTGAATGATTCCAAAAAGGGACTTTAACCAATCAATTAAGTAGAATAAGAGAATTCAAACTATTATTCCCCTTAGCTATCTCCTAATGTGAGCAACAATAGATCCAAATATCTAGGTTAATCTTACAATTAGAGTAGTATCATGCAGAGTCAAAGGCTTGATATGAAAGAAAGCATTATCAACTATGAAGATAAATAGAATAATAATCAATTAGAAGAAAGAGAAAGAAATAATTCAGGATCGAGTGATGTTCAAATGTCTGAACTCTAGATGATTAAAGAGAAATTATCCGAATTGACTAAAAAGAAAAAATTAGCTAAGGCTAAATTATTAAATAGATAATTTTAATTAGCTTAATTTATGTTCAACATATGTATGTAATATTCAGATGTATTCATTCCTGAAACTTTAAAATTATTTACTGATTTTGAGGCTACTGCAGAAAAAGATTAAAGATTTACTCAATCAAAGATAGTGCGACTTATCAATTTGCATGTAAAAAAGGCTTTATGTTATATATAAATTGGAGATATCAGCAATTTTTAACTTTCAGAGCAAAAAGCTGAAGAATATTATAATAAGCTTATTTAAGATAATGCGAACTTAGAATAAGCTTAATAAAATGAGGAATAAGATTTCAACTTTGTAGATATGTTTAAAAATGTTCCAAAAGAAGTTCTTTTTTCAAAAATCAGATAGTTAAAGGCTATTTATTAACTTTTAAGAGGAAACTTTAAAACAGCAGCTGAAATTTTAACTGAAATAATTGAGATGGGTGATTATTATGATCCAGAAGTCAGAGATTTTTGTTTAATGGTGTTAGAGAAGATATTCAAATTGTTTAATATCTCTCCTTAACCTATTTAGCAATTTCGAAACTAGATCTCAATTAATGTTTATGAGATAGTATTTATGATAGATTATTCTAAAGAGATGAATATTGAGTAGATTAATCTTTCTCATAGTATTTGCACAAAGATCTTTTCTATTCTTTAACCCTAGGATTTAATAGGAATGTATGGTTTCAATAACTCTCTACATGAAGCCTTTCCACTTCAACCAAAAGGAACTTATAAAGATCTATTAAATAAATAATTATATATGGCCATCACAGCTCCTGGAGGTAATTCCAGATTATATCAGGCTCTTCGATTTGCTGTTAAAAACTTCTTTGAACATAAAATCAATATTTCAAATGCTAACAAAACAAATGGTAAGTAAGATGAATAAAAGAACAATTTCAAAAAGGAATGCAATAATTTTACAATTCATGAAGAGAATGAACAAGATTTATCTTAATCATAATTTCCACCATTATCTAATAATGAAGATCCTAAATAAAAGTATTTATATATTTTATTTTAGAGCTGAGGAATCCTAAACAGAAGGAGAACAAGATACTGATTCAGATAATGATGATATTCAATTTTTCAAAAATGGAAACAATGCTAATCTTAATGCTAAAAGTGAAGATAATATTGATCAATAACAATATGATTTTAGAAGTAGATATAAGTTTATTTGTATCTTCACAGAAAGTATTAATTAATTTGATTATTAGTTAATAAGCACATGTGTTAAAAGTAAGAGGATAAACTTAAACAATTACTTGAAAAGAATTAGGTTGATTTGATGGTGTTCAATATAGCCAATTAAAATGCAAATATGCTAGAGTTGAAAAAACTTTCAAAAATAACACCCAGAAGCATTTTTGTAAATGCTACAGCTAACCTTGAGTAATTGTTTGGAAAGTCAAGATAAAACTAACTTTAAAAAAAGATGTATTTAGAATTCTTCTGATTCATCCAAACTATCATAATTATTATCTTTTTTTGAGAATTGAATTTAAATATAGTTTCTATGGCTTTTTCATCTTATCATCTAAAATTTATATTTTTGAGTTAAATCTAAGTTTCTTAAAAATTTTGCTCTCTTCAGTTGATAAAGCTCCATTGTTATACTCTTCTCTATCAGATTCTGGTAATGGCTATTCAATCAAATCTCCTTATGATTTCATTAACATCTCTCCATTCCAACACTATCCTATTTAACTCATAAAAAATTATTTATAAAAAAAAATGATTGATTATATTTAAGACTATTTTTAATAATTTAATGTACGGAGGAATTCCAGAAAAAAAGTTAACTGAGAAAGACATGCGCTTAAATTGTTAAAGTATAAGAGATGAGTTTGAAAAAGAAATAAATATTGAACATTAAAGAATCAATGTTGATTCAGCCAAAAAAAAGGCAGTTCTTTACCATCATGATTATGAAGGTTTTAGATAAATGGTTTTGGGAGCAAATCTATATTCTATCAAATCTAAAGAATTAGCTAATTTTGGATTTAATGAAACAAATAATGAGAAAATATTTAATTCTTCTTATCAAAAATAGCAATAACCTAGTTAAGAAGAAATTAAATAACTCTAAATAAATATTAAAGAGATTTAATGTAAAAATTTTAGAGATTTTAGAACACTATTTTCTAAACATTATAACTAACCTTTATCATAAGATAATTATGCTGAATTGATGAAGTAAACTTCATGATCTAAAACTTAGTATATTGTAAATGTAGAGTGAAGAAAACATAAAGAAAATATTTTCAGTTGACTTCCACATAGAATATTTTTTTAAAATTTTAGAAGTTTTTGAATATTCAATTTCAATATTAAAAGATGGAAAAGAATTGAGTTTTATCATTGGTTTTTTAGGAGAATTAGTGAAAATAAAGGATTTTATTTAATAGATAAAAAAATTCTTAAAAAAGTAAGAGAAAGAAGAATTGAGGGAATTTTTAGGAAGATTAAAATAAAGTTTGACAAGGGAATACTAATAAATAGAATTAAATGAGTTGATCCATAAAAAGTATGATGAATTATTGATTTAATATTTATGAATATACATAAAATCACTCATTAAAATTGAGAGTAAATCTCTATTTAATGTTGGCTTTTTTAGAAAACTTGGTTGGGTTAGATTCTTTAGGAATATTAAACTGTTAGGTTTATTTAGATGTGAAAGCGACTCCATCACTAGAATTTACAATAAAATAATACCGATTATCTCTTTGTTTTCTTTTGAAAATACGTACTATCCAATTTTCAGAAGTAAAAGCTTCTTCAAAATGCTTAAGTTTATATCCTTTGACTCCAATAACAGCCTATCTAACAGTATCATAGCCTTTAGGTTATCCATAAGCAGTTTAGACTTCATCAAATCGATAATAACTGAGTCTATACATGAGGGAATTAGTCATAGTTTCAGTTGCATATTAATCAACTCTGTAAGCTCCATTACCATAAAATTCTTCTTCTTTGATATGCGGATAGACTCCGCCACCAATTCTGACCATCCATAAAAATTTATTAATGTCATCACCTGAATAATTTAAGATACCTCCAAATATTACAAGAACATAATCCACATCTAATCTTTCACATATTTCAAATGCATCTTCTTCAGATGATGCCATAGCCATACCAACAGTAGCAATATGAGTATTATTCCAAGTATTATTATCAACTAAGACTGTCCGATTTGACATTCCTGTAATTTAATATCCATAATCCCACCATGACATAATTTTATCGTCTGATTTAGTATTCATTCTTAACCAATAATATGCTTCTCTATAATCATCTATAATATTTCTATTTCCTTATCTGTCTCTACTAGAGAGAATGATAGATGGAGAAGCATAAGCTTCAGATCCAGCAAAATTGGCATGTAGAACATAAACAGAACAATAATAACCTAATAGTATTAATCCAATTAATGCTATTTCAGGAGGTATTCTATACTTCTTAGGTTTTTGTAATTTTGGTAAAATAAAAGACCTGATAGATTTTGCAAATTTTCTGAATGACCAACTAATTCCAATACCAGCCATAATACTTACAGCAGGTGCAAGTACTAAAAGTAATCTTACCATTACTGATGCAAAATAAACTCCAAGGACTGTATAAAGTGCTCCGAATATTTTAGTTTCAGTTGGTTTATAATAACAATAATACAATCCTACTGGTGAAAAGAGAATTAAATAATGTAAATCAAAGAAGAATGATGACCATGTTGTAGCTTAATGTTCAGAAACTGAAGCAATAATTGGAATATATTTCTTTGCATATGTAGGGTCCAAAAGCGTTAAACTTCTTCCACTCCATTATGTCTTACCTGCTAGAGTTAATATGACTACTCCAATTAAAATAGAGAATACTAAAAACACAACTAAGAATTTAGTAAGTGTTAGGATTGCTTTTTTACTTACAAAATTGCGTATCCAACTGAAAAAGTTTAGGAAGTTTATCAATATAAATACTGCATGCGATGCCATATGTTCTGATGAATGTAAAGCCTAAAATCCAACAAATGGAATTTGCATAGCTAATAAAGTTCCTAATATGTAAAAGACATTGTAAGCCACTTAAATTCTCTGATT